ATTATATTTGTATTTGTGATTTGAGTTTTGGGGTGGGTGGAAAACCAATTTGATCAAAGCTGTTTTGAGAATTGATATTTAAAAAACAATGTGTCCATAGATTATAAAGGAAAAACATAAAAATCCATGCAACTGATTTTTTTTTTGCCGGAATAACATGACAGCAGCTGAATTGATAAACTCTTTAAAGGGCATTTAACCCTGCCAAGCTTCAGTTGGTATTTTCAAGGATTTCACTGCAAAGTATTTCTGAAACATTTCTCCTGAACTACTTCTAAGGCAGAGCCAGCAGGAATGAGGGAAGAACTGCATAGCAGCCTCCAAACTCCCCTGCAAAGGAGCCTAGTTGTGTTGGAAGGATAACATCCTGTGCCAAATTAGCAAAAAAGGAATCAAAAGCAGCTCAAAAAGTGAACTTCTACCTTTCCATTTGCAAGGCTTGGCCTGACATGAAAAATGATCACCAGCCTTGTGAGGCTGTTTTAGCTTTGTGATTACTGCAGTTTCTGGAGAGCAGGGAGAGCTGACATAGCTGATTGGAGCACCTGGTTCCTCCAGGAGAAGCTGTCATAACTGACAAGATTTGGTTGCATTAAAGTTGCACTTTGCTGGCAATGTTTTTAGTTAGTTAGTAGACACAAGTGAAGCAGACTGGCACATTGAAATACAATACCACAGAGAATAGAGACTGTCTAGCTACAGAATAGAGACTGTCATAGAAGAAATAGTAGTCAGCCTTTCTCCAATCAGCTGTGTTCGCCACAGATCTATTCAATTGTCTTGTAATTTATCCAATCAGCATACTTTAAAAGTGAGGTTTCATTCAAGAGTGCTAATCAGCCCAAAACCTATATTCAAAGTTATAATAGTTGGGTTAAACTCCCAGTCATATTAGCAAAGCCAGTTCACAAGTGTAACATTCCCTTAGAATAATTTCTCAACCTCAGTAACTTTAAGCTGTGTAGACTTCAGCCCTCCAGAATTCCCTGCCAATGTTAGAACAAAAGAGAGCAAAATTAAAGTTTGATCTGCTACTTTAAAAATGCTGAGACACGAAGTGAATGAAGTCCAAAGCAAAGCAGAAAGTTGCATTAGGCAAGCATGTCAGGACCATATCATAGCGATTCTCTTGGAATTATCTGGCTCATATGACATCTCTGTGAACAGAAGTTACATTGCAATGCTGTGTCTCATCAGCTCCAGAAGCTGTGGAAAAGTCATATTTTCAGCTGGATCTTGGAGCATGGTTCAGCTGAAGCTTGCTTGCTCTAGGCAGCCATAGAAATGGGGAGAAGGGACTGGGCATTTGGGTTGGGGAAGTAAGCTGGTGTGAAGTAGTCCCATGAGAAGTGGGAATGAGTTTTGTACTCATGAATTATAGCATTGCTGAGTGGAGTTGTTTATTCTTCTTCAAGGTCAACCATCCTGAGACTCCAGTTGTGAGAAATACCCACAGAGGAGTTTCCCCATAACATCATACTGGACGTTGATTGGCTTCTCAGTGCTGGACCCTGGGAGGAGAGATTTGGGATGACTTTCAATGTGTAACTTTTGTGCACTTTGGTTCAGATCTTGTCTTGCTTTTGCTGCTATCAATTCAAACTTAGTAAAGTACCTCTTCTCTAAACCAACTGAGTTTTGTGTGTGTGTTATTTTTTAGATTTTGAACAGAGGCACGCCGGACACATATATTTATCTTTATTCCATGTTTTTCCTCGAGAGGGATACAGCAATCTTCAGTCATGGATTAAGTTACTGAATGCCCAAATACTAGTATGGAGCAATCATCTAAATCCTGTTTGTGATAACAAATCAGGGAGTACAAACCAAAACTAATTTATATTAAGAATAGGGTTTCATGGCCACTTCTTCAGCCTAAATTTAAAATTCTCATGTGGTGGTTGAACATGCATAATATATGCAGATTTACTTGAAAACTGCACAAAGTATCCTAAATTTATAATTTTAGGACCCAGGGATCTATTATGTTTCCTCCCCTATTTTTAAACATTAGTGTAGAATATGCCTGAAAATGGGTTTTGAGGTGGCAGAATTGGAATTGAAGTGCCAATTCCAATGTTTCCCAGATTTAATCTAGGGCATTTTTTCTGGATCAATTCAATCTGACCAAATAGGTGGTAGAGAGATCAAACATTTTCTGGCAAAGTGAAACGCAGACGGATAAAGATACTTACTGCTAATATTGCTTAAGGATTATGAGCTGTCTTCGGTATTGGCTAAACTGATTTAAGATCAAGCCTGCTTCATTTGCTGTTTTCATTTCTGCAATCTGTCTGTGGCATTTTCGTTTTGAGGCTAATATGCATTTGACATCAAGCAGATTTGGATTGCTTGCAATCATTCTGATAAGCAGGTATCTTAATGCCTTCTCATGAGTGGGCTTCCTATCTGAAAGTTCAGCTATATTAAATTCTGCATAAATGAAAGCTGTTCTGCAGTGCAATGTACAGTGCCCACAGACCCAATGAAGACTGTTAGATTAAATAAGAAAGTCTTATTTAGCTAGTTCACTGTCCAATTGCAACGTAGGTAGTCCTTGACTTACAACAGTTCATTTAGTGACCATTCAAAGTTACAATGGCACTGAAAAAAGACATATGACCATTTTTCACACTTAATACCGTTGAAGCATCCCCATGGTCACATGATTTACATTCAAATGCTTGACAACTGGTTCATATTTATGATGGTTGCAGTATCCCGGGGTCACCATAACCGTCTTTTGAGACCTTCTGACAAGCAAAGTCAATGGGGAAGCTAGATTCACTTAACAATGTGACTAATTTAACAACCACAGTGATTCACTTAAAAACTGCGTCAAGAAAAGTTGTAAAATGGGAGAAAGCTCACTTAACAAATTTCTCACTGAGCAACATAGATTCTGGGCTCAATTGTGTTCGTAAGTTGAGGACAGCCTGTACTGCCATATTGAGAACAGAAACTGCTCATTATATCACTTGCAGTATCCTTATCACTGGATTAATAAATTGAATTCCCATTCTCTTCTTAAATCGATGAGTAATTGTTGCCTTACTATCCTGGTACAGAAGGGTTATATAGCAGCAGGTGCCTTCCAAGCCCGGAGAGGCCTGCATTTTGTATTGCCAACATACATTTTGGTTTATGCTGTTTTCAAAAGCAAAGCCATTAATAGTTTGCTCTCGTAAATTAGGTCTAGCAAAATGAATATTGTACCAATGAGTAGTTGAAAGGATATGTTAGTTTCTCCTTTAAATAGTTTCCCGATTTCAGTTTCCATCTCATGATTGTCCAACTCTTTAGAGGTGTTTGCACTTTCTAATATAAGTTATATTTACTGTATATTATGTATGTGTTGAGTATAGTTTTGAATATATGTATATCATAGATATTGAGAGTATATGATGCATTAAAAATTTAAATAGGAACAAATTAGGAATTTACAGCCAAGTCTTTTATTTCTCTTTTGTTATTCTCTGAATAATCCCCTTACTCCTCATACATGCCCACTGTAATGAAATTTTTTTCTATTAGCATAATAGAAGGCATTTTTTAAAAAGAAAACTGAAACAATAGCCTCATCAGAGCTATAAATGTTCATTAACGGATTATTTTTTTCTGATAGCAACAGCCCTCCCTCTCCCTAATTCTGTAAGTATTTATATGTATATAAAGTTAACAATAGACTTATTAACACAAAAATGCCTGAAGAACTGGGACCCTTTGTTTTAGAATAATAAATTGAATTTAAAACAAAATCATCACACTTTGAAAATATAACATGAGAAATATTCAGTCTCCTTTTGAAAATGAAAATATTTCAACAATCATGCCTGCATAATTTATCACTGAGCAATGAATCAAAAACAGTAGAGCAATCATGATAAAAATGTAATCCAATGAACTTGGATGAGAGAGAACTACATACTGTACAACAGTTCATTTTAATGAATTTCTATCTTTTTTCTCAAAACATCACTCCTCATCCAAATTAAGTAAAATTATTTTTAAAGAGAAACACCATCAAGTCACAAACAGGCCTTTTATTACTGCTACTGCACCATCTTGACATGCAAGGAACTATGTAGTCAAACTGTAAACAGTTAAATCTTTTCCCTTCCTGGAAGAAAATGAAAATATAATATAAACACCAATTATATTTGTATAGCTTTTTTAATTAACACAACTCCACCACTGGTAAGAGTTTATACTTCTGTGCATAATTACCACAATAGCAGCTCTGCAGACTAAGAACTGCTGTTCTGTTCTTCCCGGGATTTTAACAAGTCCACTGGAACACCTAATCTGCTATTACCAGTTTTGAGTACATACCAACTTCAACTAAAATTGTGCATTTAATGTACACTGCAATGAATAAGATTAAGTAAACAAATTAAGTACTTAAATAGCATTTATATTATTCAAATGCATTTTGTGTTTTCTAGATTTGAGACCAGGAAGCCTAAAGAGCATGTGATCAAAGTGATTAAACCTCTGAAAGACCTTTTCTCATTAAATATGATGTGAGTCCTCCTTATATTTAGAGAACTGTATTGTAGAGGGGGATGGGAGGGGGAGAAGCTATGTACGGGTAGGTGGGGGCTGGCAGAAGACAACACAGGAAAATGGCAAAAACCAGATCTCCCTTCTATGGGAACCTAATTAAATCACAAAGCCTTTCATCAACAAAAGAACGGCTGCTTAAAACATAAAGTGTATTCACAATTAAGCAGCAATTATGAAGCAATAAAAGTGTATCATAATTATTATTTATTTTCAAATATCTAGATCAGTGGTTCTCAGATTATGGTCTCGGGAACACCAGTGGTTTATGAGGTACTGCAGGTGGACCCTTGTGAGAGTATGGCCAAAATATTGGGGCACTGCCACATCTTATAAGATTCTAGCATAGCCACCCCAAATATCACAAGTTTCAAATGAGCAAAAATGCACTAAGATTTGGAATACTGCAAATATTTTAGATATGTGAGTTTTTTTTAAAAAAAAACACTTTTATTTAATGTTGGGGTTTTATGGACACTATAGGAAGATATGTATCCTCTGATGCCTACAAGTACCATTTTGCTCTCCCATAGCTTATAAGGTGACTTTGGATGAAGTAGTGGTCTGCATAAAGAAAAGGATGGAAATTGATATGCTAAAAATTGTTTCCTTCTAGCTTTTGATAGGCAATTTGGTAACAGCCTATACTGAAAAACCATTCCAGCAGCCTTGAAGAAGAAAACTGTTAATAGGCCATTGGATATTTCAATGTATGTTTTATTAAGGGAGAAGAATATATATTTGCTTCTAATAGGGGAGATGACTTTTAATAGCGGCAATAAAGGAGAGAATATAGTCAGAGCAACATTATTCGGTAGTGATTATGGCAATGATTTTCCCATTGGATACTAAGGCTAAAATCTGCTACAAGCTTTAAGTCCATGGATTTCATGGGCCATCCGTGTTATCAGTATTAATGCAGAATTCAAGGCAGTTTTATGTAGGAATGTAAGGTTTTTTCAACTCTCAACTTGCAATTCTTAACATGGCTATTGTAAAAGGGGGAAAAAGAATGGTTGTGGATACGTTGTTGATGGATTAGTATTTTCTCCTCTTATGATGAATTAGTTTGGCAAGGAATACAGGAATAAGCTTTCTGCTGCATTCCACATTCTGAACTCCTATACTTTACCCTGCTTTTGAAAGATATTTTGATATTAATTAGCCAATTTTTTTACTTATTGAAATATATGTATTTTATCCTTGTTATATTTGGGTCACTGAAATACATGTTTTTATTTCTAGCTTGAGTTCTATTGTCATACCTGGCAGTGATAATATTTACAGTATATCCCTAATTATGTCAGTTCTTGTTTGATTTAATTATGTTTGTCTGAATAGTGATCAAACTGAAGCACTGGTAACCCATTACTTCTAACTATGTAACGAGTCCTTCAAAATATTCAACATTTCAATAATATATTTCATTTCCCATTATAAAGCAATTTATAATTTTTTCCTTTTTTTCATGGTAGGGATACTAAAAAAATCATGGAGAAATATTTTATATTAGTACTGATGTTAGAATATGTTCTTCAGATTCAGCTGATTTATTCACATTGCCCATTAGGACTTTGGGGGGCTCAGTGGGAAGAAGACATGTTAATTCATCTAAGCTTGATACTTCTTACCATCATCTTTGCCACCATCCAGAGATTGCCTCCATAAAAACTGAGGCTATATTTTAGCTTTCAATGGAAGCTCTTTAAAACAAAAAAAGGTTGGGGGGCAGAAGAATAAAACATTCCAGAATATACAAATGCATTCTTGTTTTCTCAGACACAAGTCCCTTGACGGGTTGAAAGGTGATGCTTTCGATTTCTGATTCCCAAACTCTTATCTTTAGACTCTGAGGGCTTCTGTTGTGAAATGTCTATCAGTGCACTTGCAATTGCCAGCCCTGTAAGAAAAGATAAAAAGAACATTGTAATACACCATAGTAAAAATATTTTCACAGCTTCCTTTATTCTTTCATGTCCAGGATATACATATTGAAGGTTTTGAAAATGCTTTGGAAAATTTATTTCAGTCTTTGCATAAGGATGGCCCTTCAGTGTTGGCATTTAAGGAAGCTATGTCTTTTTATAAACATTCATGAGAATTCATAGGAGACAAGATTAAAGCCAATGAACTGATTTAATGGATAACAGACCTTTTTGTAACGTCTTTTTAACCAGAGTTTCAATCTATGTCACTTTTTCAGTACATATCTGTTTCTGAGCGAGAAATAAAATTTCTAACTTCAATGGAGTAATTCAGCTTATTATTAAAATTCATGTGAGTTCTGGACAATAGGAGTGAATGCTATTTCAGTGGAAAAGAGTAATTAAGTTATTCAGATTAAAATACTAAGTCTGGCTCTGAATTTGAAATATGCTGCCATAACTGGCTTTTCAGTTCAGTGATGTGGACACCTGGCTTTCCATCATGCATGCATGCATATGGAAACATGTCTCCCAATGTACATATATTCTCCTATTTATTTATTGTAATGGCATTATGTTCTGTTGAACTGAATTTTGAGTTGAGTTCATCCATTCTGAGAAGGCTCCAAGGCAAAATGAGTCTGCCACTGAAATAGCTTTTCCCTCCAGCTTTTCAAGGAGGAAATGGGTTGAGGAAACTGGCCATTTAATGTACTGTTTTGTTTTGTTTTGTTGTATCTTGCTACTATACAAAATATTGCATATTCAAAATTAATTAAATACACATATATAATGAAATCCTTTATTATATTGCATTTATCAAATGCCATTTCCACAAAATTCACATAGATATCAAGGTAACTGGGCTAATATTCCTTGCACAAAATTATTCTTAACTGAATGTTAGTATTAATGCTTGCTTCATTTCATTTGCATTCATTTCAGGATGAACTTATCAGCAAAATATATGCAAACAAAATTGTAAGAAAAAATATCTGCCACTTGACATTCTTCTGATGAAGTAAACATGTACTGGGATTTAAAGTCTGTCTGTAATATGACAAGTATCTATCAACACTGGACATAGTGACTAGAGCAGTTAAATTTTTTACTGCAGCAATATTCAGAACTCCACAAATGAGTTTAGTCCCGTGAAATGTCCATAGCATGACTTTAAGATATTAAGAAAACATCAAACCTCTCATCACGACTACTGAAGAAGAATTCTTATTGATCTCTGAATTCTAACTCATGTCTTTACTCTTAGTTTAAGACATTCATTGTATTACTTTATATGTGACTTTAACCATTGATTTTTGGTAATATCAGATACAGACTGCCTTATTGTTGGTTTGGTAGAATGTCTCCTCATGGCCATCTCAATTATTCCCTTACATAAAGGTTTTATTTTACAGGAATGATGGCAACATGCAATCTCAAATCAGGATATCATCTCCAAAATAGTACTTGAAATTTCTGACTGATTAGGCCACTGATCTCAGCATTATGATTTCCCAAATCTTAAAATCATATAAAATGTAGCTTATGACCTTAAATAGAATTAATGTAATTAAAAATAAAATCTCAATTCAATAAATATGATTGCCTCAGGTTCCCATGTATTATGGCTTCTATCCATATTGTGTCTCTTCTCCACTGTACCACCCTCCCTCTTGTGCTGTTTGGGTCCATGACAGATCAGTGAATAGGCTACTTTATTGTGACTGCATTCAATAGAAAGTAATAGAAAAGAGGGTAAGATCAGTTTATTAAATGCAGAATTATTCTTTGATTATTCTGCTTCTACAAGAGAACAGCTGACTCCCTAGAATAATGTTAAATGAAATGGATTAAATATACTTCTCAGTGATCCTCAGATGATTCTTTCTCAAATTCATATTTTCCTTCAGAGGTTTATTTGTGTGCTATTCCACTTACTTTGTTTAGGACAACAACTGTGAAGGAATCATGCTTTTCAATCTAATACTGCATTCTGGGACCTACTGATATGCTGGTAAAGTTCTATTAAAATCAGATCACTCCAGAAGATCATTTCTCAAAGCATCACACAAATCATCCAAAGAAATTTACTTACTGTTTTCTCTGGGCTCAACAACTTTCTTGTTATCAAAGCAATACAATTAACTGGGGGATCAATTTATTATTTTACACTGGCATCTAAAAGAATTTCATTTACCAAGTAAAAATGATGCGCATATACTGCTGGCCAGTAGAATTTACATCAAAATGCTACCCGAGTCAATAAAATGCTGGGGTTTAAATATTTATTATATGCTTTACCTTTATTTAACAGGTTTTCCCCCAAGACAGTTAATATTATTGGCTGGAAATGTAAATTCTATGATAGCTACCATATATTTTCCTCTATTTCCATAGCTTGTTTAATTTACTGTCCCTTCACACGTTGCCCATTTGAAAATACCTTCCTATTGAGCTGACTGCGCTTATTTTTCAACACTGAAGCCATCACGTAAAATTAACATGGCTCAATCCCATAAGTCATCTGCCTTGTTTTTTAACATGTAGATACAGAGGTTCATCTAGGAATGAGATCTGTCTATTCCAACACACTTTAATCTGGCATTCTCTGGATGAATTGGGATTCAATTTTAAAATGGCTTGAAGTTGGGAAAACACATTGTATGAAAGACACCTGTAGTGAGAATATGTTAACTGTCATTATGTACAAAGTTCTGGTTATTTTGATGAATTTTGCCTAAAGATAAAGAATAGCTTCTTTTATCAAATGCTTTCACACAAATATTAAATGTGTGCCCAATAAAATAAAAGTGGGAATTTATTATTATTAAAACAATGTTATATGTGTTTGAACAGAGAGAAAACCAGTGTTATTTAGGTTATACACAGAAATATAACAGTTATCTTATGATGGTAATAGTTAAACAGAGAATTTCTAGCCATAAAATTACTTGTGTGCATTTATGTGTGTGATGTTTAAGCTATTTATGGCAATTATGTAGAACAATTAATAAATATAGAAATAAAATGTACCACATCAAAGCAGATTGCTTTGCAACGGTTTGTAATTTAGATATAAGTGCAACATTGAATGTTTTATTAGAACAATAGACTTTTAAAGTGGTTTCGTTTTGAACAAGACTTTCCTTTACAAAACTTTTGCAAAAGAAAGGCTGCATTCTACATTTTATTTTTTTTTTCTCCCAGCAAAACAGCTTCATTAGGCACGAAAGGTTAATTGTAGCCTTAAATGCAATTCAAGCAACAACATGCAAGTATGTGTTGAATGGAGCAGCTTGACAGAAGAAGCAGCATGCTATAAACTGTTTGCCCCGCTGAAATGTTTTACTACCTCATTTACTAACTGTCTCCTTTTACTGCTTGTATTCGTACTTCTTTTAAACCTTTAATAGCTACAGTTTTATTTCAATGTAATCAGATTTAAATAGAAATACCATGGCTGAGGATATTTAAATGTTTTCCTTCCTTGCTGTTTTATATAGATGTACACTAACTGATGCAGAGGCCCATTATCTTCCAGAATAAGAAGGCAACCTTATACTTCAGCCTTACTTGGTGTTGGATAATGCAAGCGTTTCCCTTTCTGCTATTGTTAATTTTAATTAAAAATTTATCAAGTTCACATTCTTCTCCTTTGTTCGACTGAAGGATGTTAAAGATGACCTGCTAGGTTTGGTTAGGAAAATAATTGCAATATGATTTTTCCCCTTTAAACATATATTATTGTAACGTATCATCCTGGAAAGATAACTTTATTAGATAAGATTACATTTTCAGGCATTTTCACATTATTATGCACATACACAATAGAGGTATAATAAAGCATACACTGGCACACAATGCTTTAGATCTTTTAACCAAATAAAAGAGAACGGCCATTAAGTAATTAAATGAAATAATTAAGAAGAATTGAAAAGAGAAAAGGTGCTCCCATAATGCTAGTAGAAAATCAAATGCTTCGCGCATCAAAATTGTTCCATCATTACTGCAATTTTTCATTTTATTTCTCCTGCTCTAAAAGCTATTGTAACATGGACAGTAAACTAAATGTAGCTGCATTAGTGCTGTGAACTCATTACTCACGTTATTACTGTCAGGAATCCCAGTGTCCCTGAAAGTTAATGCAACAGTTTTAAATCCCACTGAGAAAATGATGGAAATTAAAATGCCTAATCTGTGGTTACACAGATCACCATAGAGCTCAATAAGTGTATCTTCATCTTTATCTCATCAGCACTATTTATAATTACATGCTGCTCCCTTTTTTTAAACTGCATCCTGTCATTTATTATCAACATTTCACTGCACTAAAGCACTCTGCAGGTACATAGGGAAATCTCCTGGTTCATCAGCTTTCACCCATTTGTAGCAGTTCCCACCTTTCTTCTTTCATTCATTCAACTCATCCTTTTCTGGAGTTAAAAAAAAAAGTGCAGTAAAACTAAAGCCTTAGTCCCATTTCTTATCTTCTATCTGGATTATTCATATTATACTGAGCAAAGTTTTATCCGCTTCTATTTGGTTCAGCTCAGCTTACTTGGAAACAAGTAATACTTTAGCTAATTGAGGAATTCCTGTGTTTTCCTACTGTTCGCTGTTGCAAGTCATGGTATTCTCTATATGGAGCAAAGTTTGGACTTTGAAGAATGGGGAAAGTCTTGATTCTTTTGAATTTAGGTGTTGTGAAAGACTCCTGAAAATACTGAGGACGGCCAAGAAAACAAACAAGTGGGTCATCAAACATATCAAGTCAGAGTTGTCACTCAAGGCACAAATGAAAGGGTCAAATAATATTTACTTTAGCCACTTTACATGAAAACCAAGCCCTCTATAGCAGTGGTCTCCAACCTTAGCAACTTTAAGACCTGTGGACTTCAACTCCCAGAGTTCCTCAGCCAGCTTTGCTGGCTGAGGAACTCTGGGAGTTGAAGTCCACAGGTCTTAAAGTTGNCGA